GACCAACCACTTTATTCAGGAGATGTGGGCAAGACGTGGGCAGTGGGTCACAAGGACCCAGAGAAGGGCCAAAAGAAAATGGAACAGCGAAGATCTTCTTTCCAGCCTGTTGCAGACGCGACAAAAGAGAAACAGCACAAGATTCAAACGGCAAAATTGTGGCAAAATTTATCGTAAAACAAAAGAAACAAATAATTTAACCCTGAGTACATTCTGACTCAAACCCTATCAAGAAATATCTGAGCAGACTGCATTATTTATTATTCTGCCAACTTTATGCAAGTATGCCTGCTATTACACTGACTTGATATTGAAATCCTTAAAGCAGCAGGTATCTTCCTTACATTCTTTCTACCTTCATTTGTTGTTAAGTCATGCGTGTATTAGGATAAACTGGATCGGATATACTCTAAATAAATTCCAGAGGACTATTACCTAGCTCTGCAGTAATTAGGGCTTGGTAAAAACCCATAGGATATTAATGTTCTAAGGAATAGCTATAAAGATTTGAATAAACTAAAGAATATGCGTGGGCAACTAGTCTCTGGGAGCAACCACGGTGATTATAAAAGCTGACATCCTCACAAGATTATAAGAGAAATACATGATGCATCCAACTATTCTGAATATTCACCTGGGCTAACACAATGCAAAACTTATCAGAAAAAACCCACAACAAATCTGAACCCTGGAAGCAGATTTATGCAGCACACAATATAGAAAGATTGTGTTCATGTGAAGTCAACCATAATAGAGTATCAGAAATCTTAGTCCTGCAAATGCTTTTGATTTTGAGATGAAACACAACCACGCTCAACAAACCTTAATATAAGCCTATCGGCCTCCTCCAAATTTCCTTCCATGAGAAGTCTCTTGCTAACCTTCTCACATAACTTTAAATCAGGAAGTAGGTTTCTATTGAACATTCGACAAGCAACTTTATATGCTGACATAGGAATTCCAGCACTTAAATAACTCTCCATAAGCACATGACAAGTTTTAGCATCATTTCTTGAAGCTGTTCTCAAAACCTCACCTAAAAGGCTATTGGCCTCCTCAAGGTATCCAAATTTACATAGTTTCTCAATTACTAAATTATATGCTGTTTGAAATCTGCTTTTTGCAAGCATCTTCGTCAATAATTTCAACAAATCTTCCACCTGGCCTTTTCGACAATACTGGTGGATAACAGATCTGTATGTAACAGGAGAAGGAACCAACCCTTGCCTCAGCATCTTCATTGTAAATTCAGTGGCTTCTTCTATACGGCCAGTCTTGCCCAGTGCATCAATTAAAGTTGTGTATGTCACGGTATCAGGGTGCTTGTTGCAAAGGTACATATCATCTAACAATGACAGTGCTGCTTCCAAATCATCTTTCTGACAGTATCCATGAATGACAGTGGTGAAATTGACTACATTAACAGCACAACCCTTGTTCATGCACTCCTTCAGTAACTGATTAGCTTCATGTGGTTTCCCATCCCGACAAAGAGATTGCACCAATAAGTTAATTTCAACTGGATTTGGAAAGAAACCTTTTCCAATCATCTCCCTGACTAAATCGCACGCTTCATTCAATTTCCCTTCCCAACGTAACCCATGAACTACAACACTATAAGTAATTGCATTAGGTGTCCACCACTCTTCATCACTCATATTCATCATCTTTCTAGCTTCTAAGGATTTACCATTGCGGCAAAGACCATTTAGCAATGTTGTATATGTTACAGCATTAGGTTTGCAGTGATGCTTATACATCTGTTGCATCATCTTTTTTGCTTGATCAAGTTTCCCTATGCGACAAAACCCATCAAGGACAGAGGTGTATGTTACAACATCTGGAGCACAGCCGTTGGAGAACATTTCACCAACAAGCTCTTTTGCCTTCTTAATCTTTCCTTCCCTGCAATATGCATGAACTATTGCACTATACTCAACCTTGTCAACCTTAAATCGCAATGCTTCTGCTTCTCTAAGAATCTCTAGAGCCTCATCACCGTGGCCATGCTTGGAAAGCATATGGATTAGAGAATTGTAAGTAACATGATCTGGTAATAAGTTACTGTCCGTCTGCATTTTCTTCATCAATTCTCTAATTTCATTCACCCTTTTGTCTCTACAGAGAAATCCCATAACAGTATAGTAACTAACTTTATCTGGGGAACATCCCTTAGATGGCATTTGATCAATCATTTCCATGGCTTGGTCAACCTGATACGTGTTACAATAGCCCTTGATCAAACAATTATAAGTCACGACATTTGGAGCAATGCCAATAAGAACCATACATTCTGCAAACCTCAATGCCTTCTTTAACTCATTGCCCACCACCAAAATATGGATTGCAGTATTACAAATAGACAGATTAGGTTCTACACCTGCCCTCTGCATCAAGGTCAAGACCTTCATTGCATCCCTTAATCTTCCTGCCCGACTATATGACACCATTACAAAACCAAAAGCTTCAGGCCAAAGCTGAATTCCTCTACGAGTCATAAGTCGAAGAACCCGTTTAGCACCTTGACATAATTTGGTCCTACTCAGTATCTCAAGCATCACTAAGTACACAGATGAATCATGTCTATACCGCCACAATCTATCTGCCCAATAGAAGAAACGCAAAGAAAGTCTTTCATCTTCCAGAGAGAGCAAAACAGCACATACCTGCACGGGAGTTAGGCTTCTAACTAAATGCCTCAATTCCCCTTCAAACTTCCGATTCCAAGAGGAACTTAGCTGGATCAGTTTACAAGTATCTCTCACTGAGGGATTTCGAAATACATTCTCACCGATTTCAACTCTTTTGAAATCATTTCCTTGTCCATGATTTTTATTTGACAAATTAGGCCACAAAAGATCAGCGGCATCATCAACATCCCCACCTTCATCTTCTTCGTCATTAGATTCTTCAGCCTCTATATCATCACCGTACTGAAAGTGCCGATCCTTTTTATAATTCTCATTAGGATTTCCAAAGAAACTCGAATCTCCGGAATTCTCCAAATCAGTTTTCTGTAATTCGTCATTTCCATCATCCAACCCATTATTTCTACCATAAGTATCACTGCAGTAAGTTCTTAAACTACAACCGAAACTCGAATCTCTCCAAGAGGAAGACGAGAAAAATGCGCCAACTTCACTACATGCGATAGGCTGTGAAGTAAAACGATCGAAGCATTTATAGACAACTCCATTCACAACAAAAGAAAAATTGGCACCCCCTTTCTGAAACTTATTTAGATAATTCAGTTCATGGACCCTGATTTGCCTTCTTCCAATTCTATAGTAGTAATTGAAAATGAATAACATATCTTTACAATGCAGGAAAATCAGTGAAGAAATTGATGAACTAGCGACTACCGAATTCGTCCTGTACACGCTCTTTTCTGCCGCTTCGAAGATGGAAAATAGCCAGTCCTTAAGCCGCTCCGTCGACGTTCTTCGGCTTCGCGGCGAAACAGGGTTTCCCCGCCGCAATAGCAAGCAAGTATTCCCTTCTAAATGGTTAGCACTAAGCAAGTTTGGGAAATTCCAAACAATGGACTTTTAAAAAAACTAAAAAAATATATATCCATTTCTGAAATTTGTCATTTTTTTAAAAATAAATGTTTTATTTATTCTCTCCCCATCCTTCTCATAAAAAGTAAAATATTTTATCCATAAGAAAATAATTTGGAGCACGAACTTGTTGGTAGGTGGTGTCTGTTAATTCAGTTAACATCAGTACATAGTACGACAAGACAATCTCCCGCGCTCGAGACAAGATTGGTAAGCATACATACCTAGCTTAGCCAATAAAGACGATGATCCTGAAATAAATGGAGATGGTGTTGAATATAGATAGAGATGACGAAACAGTCGTTCACGTATGTAATGTTGAGGTTACATTTTTCATGCACCTGTTCCGATAGCACCATGGCCTTCTGTGACATATCGATCAGGTAATTTAATCCTCGTGTTTAACTCGTATTTTTTGTTCTAACAATGTAAAAACTGTACGAGTATTCCTGTATAAAAAAATATCGGTCTACGAAATTAAAAATATTTATATATATATAAAAAGAGATGATCAAATTTGTTCTTACTATATTATTTTCAACCTTAATTGGGCTTTCCTTTATCAATAACTATGCGAATAAGCATATTAACTATATTATTAAAAAGTGTTAAAATTAAATTAAAAGTAAAGGCGAAAATGATAAAATTCATAGGCTAAAATTTGGCTAAAACGGAATAATTATGGAAAAAAAAAAAAAAAATCAACCAGCAAATAGAATAAACATGAAAATTGATTCTTAAAAAAAAATTAAATAAAAAGTAATCTGAGCTATGTTTGAGACCGTTGAAATTGGCGGGACTCAAAAAAGCATCCATATTAGTGGCGCAGATTCTCACGGGAAACTGTGGATATTCGGAAATGGTACTGGATTGGCGCTTATGTTCTTGGGCACAGTCTCATGGTTCCCCTGCCGTGTCTGATCCGAGGCACCGATGAGATTCCCTCCGAGCTCGACCCAAACTACAGGTGATTTCATCAGATTGTCATTACTAACTCTACTTTGAGGTTGTTTTGAGGAATAGGTGTTTCCGCGTCTAGATTTGTGGTCATCTCTCTGGAGTATGGATTTTGGACTTTGTTGCATCTAGATTACGCTGCATCGTTTGTCTTTTTTTTTTCTTTTTTTTTTTTCTTTTTCAGAACAATGGTCTGATGCAGTAGATTTTAACCTCATGATAGCACAAATGAAGAAAGTGCAGGTTCTATTTCACTTGAAACTGTGGTTTTCTTATTCATTAGCTGAAGTTCTTTACTATTGCGGAATTTTAAGTTGTAACTGGACCAAGATGTATGCTCACCGGCGCAGTTGTTTGCAATTTATTGTCCTCGTTTCGTCCGTTATACATGAGTGGCTACGGCGTAGATACTAAACCAAGTTTAATACAACACATCACTGCTCATTGAGTATCCAAAGCAATGGTGAGTCCAAGTACATATTTATCGATGTAGGGAAGACGTCTAGGAACCAAGTTCTAAGATGGTTTACACGCCATTAGGTTACTCGAGTGGTTTCCGTGAGTCGTTATCATTTGCTTTTTATGTTTTTACGTAATTGATATATACTTTGTTGAAAAATTTCTAAACACAACGCATATATAATTATGATCAGGACGCTTTTTTTTTCTTTCTGCCGTCCTTTATGGCTTTCAGAAGCAATTTTTGTTTGTCTTGATTTCGCATCTGCACTTTTAACGTGTTTGAACCTTACATTGATGATATACGTGCTGTGAAATCTTTTAGTGAATTGGTTCCTTGGGCAAGTGGATGTAGGTTCTCGTGTTCTGGAGCCAGAACACTCTAAAATCTGTCTTGCTTCTCCTGATCTTCTTAAGTACTCTTTTCCTGTCTTAATTTGCGACGGTCATCGGAAGATTCTTAGATTAATCTTCAACATTACTAAAAGAAGCGTTCATTGAAGAAACATTTTATTGGCTGATGGAAATGAAATTCTCCTTGTACCTGTTTTCTGCCTTGTTATTATAATTTTGGAGATAGTTTTGCTTAGCTTCTGCATTTCACCTTCTCATTGCATACTGAATCCTGCGGTGTCCATTTTCTGCCTTCTGCAGGTTTTGTAGGCATCTTTATGAGGTTAGTTTTTAGTATCTCGTAATTACTTTAATGACGTTCTATGTCTTTTGACAGGCTCTTGAAGCAGTGAAAAGTATGTCCAAAGCAAGTCATGCTAATTGGAATGGGTCATGTATTTGATCGCCACGTGATAATGAGTTTCTTAACCAATGGTCTATAAGGTATAATATTTACAATCTGATCCTAAAGAAGGAACCAATCTAAGTTATAGTATCCATTATGATTGTCCTGCACATGGCTTTCGAGTTATAGATATCTTAGAAACCACGAACCTCCATAATGGTATGATATCGTTCCCTTTGAGCATAAGCTCTCATGACTTTTACTTTTGGCTTCCCCAAAAGGTCTCATACCAATGAAGACGTATTGCTTACTTATAAACTCATGATCATCTACTTAATTAGCCCAAATGGGACTCCCCACCAACAATCTTCCCCTCGATACCATAGAGCCACCCTGAGGCATATGGAGCACTTGAACAAAATATACCTTTTGTTTGACACTTGACTACACCTTCGAGGCTCGCGACTTTTTTGTTCGACATTTGAGGATTTTATTGATATTTAAATTAAGAACATGGCTCTTATACCACGTTTATAACCAGGAACCTCCACAATGGTCAATATTGTCCACTTTGAACATAAGCTCTCATGACTTTACTTTTGATTTCCCTAAAAGGTCTCAGACCAATAGAGATGTATTCCTTACTTGCCGTGGGTGGTGGGGAGTCCCACCAACAATCCTCAACAAGAGATTCTACAATCTGTAAAGGTCTAAATGAAGTTGGAGGGAGATGGGTTTTTCCATTTTTTCCTGTTAGCTCTACCTAGATAAGATGTCCAGTGCCGATTTTTGTCCTATCATCATACTTACTCAGAGAAGGAATTCCAGTGCAGCTTGCTCATAATTGTCTTAGAATCTCATAGACCTATGATAAGGTAATGTTTTTTTTCATTCAGCTCCTTCAAAGGGGACTCGCGATTACCATTAACTTCATCGGAATCTATCCTTAACGGTATTAGCTATACAACCTCGGTGTTGGTCTTTTATTAGATCAAATGAGCGAAGAAAGTAAACCAAGCATTCAACGCTCCACGGCTGGACGTGTTGTTAGAGAATCATACATCTTAATGAAGCATAATGATAGGACTATTATTAAGGGATACAATCGTAATAAATTAGGAAGGATGTTATGGTATTTAGTTATGAATAGAGGGAGTGGAAAGTAGGAAGATAGACAAGATTAAGTTAGTCTAGGCTTGGGCATTCTTTATCGCCCAAGTTCCTGAAATTACTTGGTTTATCTATTAGCTATTTTAGATATTATTGCAATATATTTCTCTAGTTCTATCGTATTATTGTACCTGAGCGCTATCCAGTAACAACATTTTTTTTTCATAGTCTAACAACATTGAGTTTATGTCCTACTGATGTTGGAAGGAAAATTAGAATAGAGTTGATATGGAATTTGAATCCCTTATCTGAGCTGGAGGTGGGCTGGAATTGTAGACAGAAGAATAATGGAGATAATATGGTTAGTCTTTATTTATTAGGTACAACGAGTGCAAGGGAATAGTACTCACACCATCAAACTGAAAAATTCAAACCAAACATATCAGAAAAGTAGAGAAGAAACTATGTTCAAGCTAAACCGCGAAAACTTTGAACGAAGTGGAAGAAAATTATTAAACACATGAATCATGGGACCCATTTGGAAAGACAAAACATATTTATGCAATTCCTTTCAACATGCCCCACGATCTCCTTCCTCAATTTCTCTGTTCATTCTGGAATCTCCCACAGCAAAGCTGGAAAAGTTAAAATTTGATAGAGAGACAATATGGAACTTATGATACGCAAAGTAGGACACTGTATGAATAAAGCTTGGAACAGTTTCTTTCTTTTTTTTCTTGTTTTTTTTTTTCTTTTTTCCTTTTTTCCAAATAACAATGCGTGTAGAAAAGTTATATATTTTTTTTTGGGAGACATCATGTAAGCATCCATTTAGTAGAGATTTACTGAATCTATGTTGCAAAAAGTTCTCAAGGAACCAATCATGAAGAATTATAGCCTAAATCTTTAGTTTCTTTTTTCCTTTTCCCTTCGGAAATTTCTTATTTGCTTCTGTAGTCGAATATTGTATAAATTTGACATTCTTATCTATTTTGTAAGGAACGTAATCACTAACACATGCAGAGACAAGGACAAAATACAAGAAGGATGTGCCAGAAGCATTGTACTAAGATAAAGAAGTTTGAGAGAAAGGTAAGTTTTTTTACATACCATGCTACGATCTGAACTTATACACATTTGCTCCCAAAAGTACTTGGCAATTTCAACTTCTTCCTCAATGCTTGGTAACTTTTCCATCCTAAGCTTAGGTGAAATTTTTATTACCTTCATTAATGGGTTAATTCCAGTATAAGTAGTTTAATTGTCTTTGAATTTGTTTAAATAAATGAAGATTTTTTTTTTGGAAAATGTGACCTGCCCTTGTCATGAAAAGGGGAACCGAAGAAAAAAATTTAGATAAAAAATCACAAGAAAATAAATGTAGGTTGATTAGTCTTAATCCAACATCTCCCCATTTGAAGAGAATTTTGATCCCTGTACATTTACTGATCATCCAAGATCTTTTCAAAGATCATAATAATATCCTGTCCTGACCCCCCCGCCCTTCCCCAAGGGTGCTGATGAACATAAATCTTAGCCATTGATCTGATTGATTTAGTAGTGATTTTTGTCCTCATTACCTCTTTGAATAGATGGTTATTTGTTCCTCCCACCTCTCTCCATTGTATAGCCACCCTTTTCTACAGGAAATCCCAAACAAGGTACATTCTTTAACACAGGCATGGTACAAGTGGGGATAAAGAGAATTTCAATTCTAAAAGAAAAGGCAAGTAAATTAGGTTTTGTCGGTTTAACACAAGTAAATCTAAGAGTTCAATTAGAACTGAACTTAAACCAGTTAAGACACATATTCCTGTCTAAGAACTAGAAAAAAAAATTAATTGGAGATTAATGGATGAGATTAAAATGAAATGCTTGAGAATGTGAAAAGAAGGTTTGAACAAGGGATGCATATGTTAAATCAAGCGAACAGTTCCAACCCAGGTCAATCAAGGAATTAATAAAACAAGAAAGTGGTTCATAAAGGAATGTGATTATGCAAGTGCTTTACTTGCCAAGGGAATGTGAAAAGAAGGTTTGAACTATGGATGTATATGTTAAATCAAGTGAACATTTCCAACCTGGGTCCATAAAGGAGTTAATAAAACAAAAAGTAGAAAAAAGAAAGGAGCCCAAATGTCTAAAAACGTGGAGAGTATGGTCAAAGAAAGCAGGTAAGGAGTCAAATCATGTCTGTATTGTTCAAAGAGATGCAAATGGTCAAATAAAATCAACAAGGACGTGTAATTCATGCCCTAGCACACACCAAAACACATGTCGACCCAACACAACACGTGATCAACACCCAACCCTCCCCTTCACTTTGATTCTCCATAAAGAATGTTTTTGGACTTCACAATTTCACCCCCCTCAAATGCTCTTGGAAAATATGATTTATTATTTATTATTTTGTTTGAAAATATTATTAATGCAACTCCAACCTCTTATTGGGGTTTGAGTTTACAGGATAGTCATTAGGCTTCTCGAGATGCTTTTGATTGTTTGATAGAAATATGTTATAGGTTAAATATATAGTTTAGTTCTTCTAAAAATTTTCAATTATATTCTTCTAGTTGATAATAACAAATTTGATTTATTATACTATATGATAATACTTAGGTTGTAAGATTATAAGGTATGAACCAATTTCAACATTCACCAATAAAAGTGATATAATTGAAAAATGTTAAAATACTAAATTGAAAAAACACCCAAACATTAGAATATATAGTTAAATATTGTTTTATGATATCGGGGTAGCATCCATTTGTCTTTAATATGTAGAAGTGGGTATGTATGAATGGATCTGGATCCAGCTCAACAACCACATTGGTTCATACCACCAAGTGTGATTCTTTATTCTTTTAATTTTTTTTTTTTTCTTTCTTTTTTTAATGCCAAAGAAATACAGTTACATCTTAAATCCTAACCCTACATATTAAAGTGAAAATGGACGCTAACCCGAGTTTTTGGGGCCCAAATTCATTTTTGGTTATTTTATTTTGTTATTTTGTTATTTTGCTTTTGATTTTTGTGTGTGTGTGTGTGCGCGTGTGAGAGTTAAAGCAATGGATAGATAATATCAAATTGTTTTGAACTTTTTCTCTGAATTTATTAATAATGCCTGACATAAAGTAGGCTTAATTTAAGGGCTTTCGATTCCTTTTAACTCCACGTGCACCTTTATAAACAAAGGGTTTTCGTTTGTTTGTTCTCTTTTCTTTAACTTAATAATAGGTTAAAATGGAGATAATGGAAATTGAATGTTTAAATTTGAAGCATATTAAACTTTTAATCTTGTTTTGAACTAGGTAGATTGAAGTTTGGTTATTGGGTACATAAGTTTTATGTTATTAATCATACAGAATGCACGTATAGGTACTAAAATTTTGAGAATAAGAGCATATTTAGGAGGGAGCGTAAAATATATTCTTCATTCTAATTTCTATCCCGAAATGTTTGAAAATGAGAGACTCCATCTTCAATATGGTTATCAAGATTAATTTCCTCCTCCTATAATCCATCATCATCCTGCCCTTTCCTAAGAATTGAAAGTAGGATACATGGATCATTTTGGATTAGAATCTAAGAAAGGATTTAATTTTTAAAACTCCTATAAAGGAATTTTGATTCTTCCCATATTTGGAAAACTAATTTGGGTTGGTGTCCCTAAATGTAATATTCTAAAATGTTAGCGCAACATTTCCAATAAAAATAACATTATTTTTCGAAAATCCTAATTTGAAAATGATTAATTTGAGTATAATTTGCTTGTGACTCGTATCTTTCAACTTGCCTCCTTCATTTTATTTTATTTATTTATTTATATATATATTTTTTGTAACAATGATATATTAAAAGGGTATGTATAAGAAGTGAGAACAATTCACTTGTTTTTTTGTTTGTTAATATTTCATTAAAAAAAAAAAAAAGAATGGATTCTGTTGTCTTCTTTCATGTATGAATTTTATTTAATGTTATATACATGAAACTTTTCAGTCAGCAAAAATTTTTGACTTTGACTTAGATTCCAATAGAGATGTTCAACCAACTAATTAATTCTAAAAAAACAATTTATTTTTTTATTTTTTTATTTTTGTGTAAAATATGACATTGACCTTCGGAAAGAAAAGTTGCACGGGGACAACGTTCATTCACAGTATATTCTATTAAGTGAGTGAATATCTTTCTTTAAATCATTTTTTTCGATTTTGTTTTGTCACATTCAAATTTTAGAATCATAGGGTACTTAAAAGACAAAAGTTAAAATGAGTAGAAAAGGCTCGCATTAACTCTCAAAAGAAAATTTCATAAACACTCCGAGAAAAATGTAATATTAGACATTACATTTTAGGTGAATTAAAAAAGTAGTATTTTATTTTATCGTTGGAAAAGAATTATTTTCTTTCTCCGACATTTTAAATATAAAATTTATTAAACTCCTCAATAATAACATACTTTAAAACAAATTCAATCAATTATTATTTGATTGAATAATTTTGAAAACAACTTTTAAATAGAACTATAATGAACAATAATAAGAAGTTGTCTCAAAAAGAAAAAAAGAAAGGAGGAATGGTAAGTTAGTAACTCAAATTATAAAATTCTGAACCCCACGCCCTATTTTTCTTTTTATTTTTCAAAAAACTATTTTTTTTCTGACATTGTCAATTCTTTCCCACAATTATTCTTTTTTTTTTTTAATTAAAAAATATATATATTTCTCGGAAAAAAGGGAAAGGGTTTGATGAGCATGGGTGAATGTGCTTTTTCCCTTCTATATAAATAAATAAATAAATAAATAAATAAATAAATAAAAACAAAGTATCTTTGACTGCTGACTTCACAATCCTTCCCTTTACCCAAACTTTCTCCACTTCCAAAAACTCGTCCCTTCCTAATAATCGCCATTTCCTCGCCGCTCAATTCAAATTCCTTTCCCCCTCGTTTTATCCTAACTCGGAGATTGTTTAATTAGGAGCGCTGATGGTGGCGAGATCAGCGCTAACTCTCGCCGTTTTCTATTTATAATATTATCCTTTAAAGTAGAGTTTTTTTTTTTTTTTTTCAGCTCAAATAAGTCTTTTGTTGAAGTAAAAAAAAACATTATAAATATGATGTCATTATTAATAAATAATAACTTAATTATTTTCATCTTTTAACTCTTCAATTAATTATATTTTTCTCGTCTCTAATTTTATCAAATTCAATAATCTATAGTTAAAACGAGCATAATTAATTATTATATGTTTATGAATTGTAAAATTTTCACTCCATATTCAACTTATTAATAATAATAATTAATATTATGTTGATAACTAATCATTTAATTAAAACCCATAAAAAAAAGTACAACAAAAATTATAAGTTGAGAAGATATGGAAATGTTGCTTAATTCCGATCCCATTATGACTCTCTCCGACATCTCTGTACGGACAATCGAAACCCCAAATTATTATGATTTTTAAAAGAATTATCTGAAGCTCTTTCAAAATTAAATTTTTAGATTTGGATTGATTTAATAAACCGACATTACAGTGAGGATTTATGGGAAGAACCAAAAATGTTTTTTTTTTTTTTTTTTTTTTATGTGATTGACGGATGGTGAATGAATGACCCATTACTTCTCAACAGATTCTAAACAGAGGAAAATTGAAATTTCCCCTTTCGCTTTTCCATAATTTTTCACTGTTTCAATGCGTTCTTCCTCTTTTTCTTTTAATGATTTCCCGTAAATTCCCCACTTTTTGTCTTCTTCTCAAATCCCCTCCTACTAATTTCAAAATCCCTCTTCTCGCGTTGTCTTCACCCATTTCCATTTCCTCTCTTTCCTCGCTTCTCAATGCCCAATTGATCGCCCACCATTCGCTCAGCTTCTGCATCCGGTGTCTCATTCTGATCCCGCCACCGCATTTTGGTGGGTCCGGCGACTGCCATGGGAGAAATCGGAGATGGGTTCTTCCGTATATTGTTGTAGCGTAGTGTAGCCGAGTCGGATTCGTTCATGAGCTTGAGGAAAAAAAAATTGCCCCCACCCTTTTGGTCGGTTTTTCATATACTCCGAAGTTGACTCGTGGGTCTCCTTTCTTCTTCCTTTTCTCCTTCCACCGGCCATCCGCTTTATTTCTTCCTCTCTCTCTCTCTGTCTCCTCAGCCATTCTTCAGAGTTCCATCTCCAGAGAGAGAGAGAGAGAGAGAGAACAAGAGCTCTAATGGAGTACGAGAGGATTCACAAAGTTCAGGTGGGTGTTCATGTTCTTGCTAAAAAACTGGGAATACCCAAATCCATTTTAACTCGTTTCCGGATTTCATTTGGTTATTAAGTTGGATTGTTCTTGTTCTTGTGGGTTTCAATTGTGCTGAAGTTTGGCCCTGTTTCTTATTATGTTTGTTTCTGAATATGTATAGGAATAAGAACTGTTGTTTATTGATCTGGGTTTGTAGAGTGTGGTACTGAGTCTACTCATTCCTTTATGTTTGTTTGGAGTTGATATCAATTTTGATTGTGAGTGATGGGTCTGTTCCAACTATTTAAGACATAATAGAATGTTTTGAGCTCTTTCTTTTTCAGTAGCTGGAAGAGTGATATGGGTGTGTTTCTGTATTTCAGACAGGTTTAATTTCTCCTAGTAAACTTAGAATGAAGCTCATGGGACCTCATCACCATAAAAAGAAAGATGGATCAAACTGCAACTCTTCAAGAACTTCTCCTTCTAAGCTTGAAGACACTGAGTTTGCTAGAAATAGTTTATTATTGTCTGCTGAAAGTGGTGACTTTGAAGACGAAGGTCTGTGTTCTTCCCCTTTCCATCTCATTTCTGTTCCTTTTTCTGCAAATTATAGCAGAAGTTGTTGTCCCTTTTCCTTAAATTATGTCTGAAAATGAAACATGAACATGTTTTGATGTCATTTGTTTATGTGAAAGATATGTGTTGTGTCTATGTTTTTACTGATATTAAGACATCGTATGTCATGCAGTGACATCTGAAAAGGTTTTGAATCAGTCAGTTTCAGACCCTAAACCAAGTGATCGGTCTTCAGGTCTGCTGAAAGAGTTTCCCTTGAAGGAAAATAGTGAATCGGTTCAAAATCGAATGAACCAATGTTCGAATTCAAGCACAGTTCATCCTTCAAAACCAATAGAAGATGAAAATCTGGATTATGATAGTAATGCAAGTTCATCTAGTTTTGAGTTTCATAAGGGGGAGAGGTCTGTACATAGTTCGATTTCGAGGTCCCACTTGAGGCCAATGCCATCGAAGTGGAACGATGCGGAGAAATGGATAATGAACCGTCAAAACAATGGGCAGGCTGTCAATTATCCTAAGAAGAATGTTCCACAAAACCATGGATATAGAATGATGGCAGCAAATATGGTGAGGGTTGCTCCCGAATCTGCCAACTCTGAGCTTCGATCGTCGATTGGTAGAGTTGTGGATGCGAAGCATGTTGAGTTCTGTCAATCTGGAATGCAGATGGGGCCTGAGAAGTTCTCTTTTGTGCCTGCTGGGGCTTATTCCTGTGCAGATAACGTGTTGGTTGATTCATGTTCGCAAATTAAGGACTTAAGTGAAGTGGATCACGAGCCATCTTCGAAAGCTAGTAAAGAAGATTTGACAGGTATAAAGACGAACACGAGATTAGTTAGTTTCTCTTGCTAATGTTGCAGGTTTGAATTTTTTTGTAATACTTCAAATGTTCAATTGTTCAGGCATCCCTGCAGTAAGAGCAGTTTCAATGAGAGATATGGGAACAGAAATGACCCCAGTTCCTAGCCAAGAGCCTTCGAGAACAGCTACTCCTGTTGGGGCGTCTCCGCTTCGCAGCCCGACTTCTTCAATTCCCTCCACACCTCGGAGAGATGAACCAGCTCCAACTCCTATTGAGCAATCTGCGACCGAGCTGCAACAATCAACAGAAAACGGGAAAAGGGAACTATCAGAAGATGAAATGAAGCTCAAGACAAGAAGAGAGATTTTAGCCCTTGGGATGCAGCTTGGCAAGACGAACATTGCTGCCTGGGCTAGTAAGGATGAGCCGGAAAAGAAACGGCAGAACGCTGAAAATGCTGATAGGGAGGCACTCAAGCAAGCGGAGTTCGAAAAACGTGCAGCTGCGTGGGAGGAAGTTGAAAAGTCTAAGCATATGGCAAGGTTTATATCCCCCCTATAACTCAAATTCTTCACTACTCTAAGATCCATAAGATCCAGGATATCGAACGACGAGTAATTCGTTCAATTTGATAAGTTAATCGTACATTGCTCAGATATAAACGCGAAGAAATCCAAATCCAAGCATGGGAAAGCCAGCAGAAAACGAAGCTCGAGGCCGAAATGCGGAGAGTCGAGGTAATTAGATTTCTTTTATAGATTTAGATTGAACTTAATATGGTAATTATCTGAGTTAGTGAAGGGGTAAAGACTGTGATTGCTAAAGAACATGGCAACCACCATATTAGCACTGAGCTAACGTTTGGCACATATCAGGCTCAGGTTGAGCAAATCAGAGCTCAAGCTGAAGTGAAGATGATGAAGAAGATTGCGATGACAAGGCAAAAGTCGGAAGAAAAACGGGCAGCGGCCGAGTGTCGAAAGAGGCAAGAGGCAGAAAGGGCAGCAGCACAGGCTGAACATATTCGGCAGACGGGTCGAACGCCGTCCTCCTCTTACATTTGTTGCGGTTGGCTGTGATCAAACCAAAAACCCCATGAAAAGAATTTTGCAGCCTTAGCTCCCAGAAGAGAATTCTTAAAGCCTTACCTCAGAGTGTTCATATCGAATAAACAGAGAAGTGTAACTTCATTTTCTTGATGAAAAATGTCTCCCCTTCTTGCACCTAATACAGCGAGAATGCTTCATTGTTTACCCTTGTGGATTTGGCTTGGTTTTCATTGATCAAGAGTTGGATGATGAATGAGAAGTTCCCAACATTTTGGACTTAGAATCACTTTATTCTACACTCGATTATTTCACGTTGGATCTCACAATCCACTTCCCTTGCGTGCCAGCCTCATCATTGATCTTGTTCCTTTCTCCAATCGATATAGGGCTCATAATCTACTACCCACTCTTAGAGCCCAGCAACTCTGTTGGTACTCGTTCTTCTCTCCAATCGATGTGGGATTTCACAATCTACCCTCTTTTAGGGCCAGGGTCTTGCCTTCCGGTCGTCTCTCCCATCAATGTTGTGGAAAAAGGGTTGTTTGGTGGTGGGTGGGTTGGGGTTATGTGTTGTGTTGGGTGGGTGATGGTGTCCTATCTTGTCTCTTTTCTCATCCCTCCAAATTGGTATCTTCATGTACTATGCACAACTTTTTAGCATCTTTTCTTCTTTTTCTACCATTTTTTTCCACAATTTACTCAATCCATGATTAACCCAACTAGGCAAACTTTTCTTATTTCTAGATACATGAATATCACGAATCATGCTTATTTATGCGCGTTCTTATTTATGCGCGTTCTTAACTCCAACATGTTTAAGACAACTACTTTGTTACTTTACTGGCATAATTTTCAGTTAAGAAAATGCTAACAAATGGTTGTGTGAAGTAATTTAATGCCAATTTAATGCCTCTGTGTGAGATCCTTTGGAGAGGGAAACGAAACATTATTTATAAAAATGTGAAAACTACTTTCTTATATACGTGTTTTAAAACTGTGAAGCTGACGACGATATGTAAGATGTCAAAACGGACTATCGGCTAGTTGTAGACTTTGACTGTTATAAATGGTATTAGAGCTAAACACTAAGTGGTGTACTAACGAAGAAGAAGCATTCCTTATAAGAGAGTTAAAATCGGTGAGACTGACGGTGATACACTACAAGTCAAAGCGGACAATATCTAATATCTGTAGACTTTGGCTGTTACAAATGGTATAAGAGTCAGACATCGGGGTGGTGTGCTAGCAAAGAAAATGTATTCTTTATAAAAATGTTAAAACCTTAGAGTCAAGTTTGACGGCAAAATATAACCAACAAAGTGAAATCATTAAAAGTTCAGTTGACAAAGCATATGCGGAAAGCTTTCACATGAACTTTGGTGATTTTCTTCAAAGCCTTGAAGCTCTTCAAATACAAATGGACATAGTTAAGCCTCAGTAAAGGACTAATTCAAACATGAAAAGGTTTTAGCTTTTCTGATAGAACTTGGTTTATAAGCTGCAATATATAGCAAATAGCAAAAGCTATCTCCAGTCATACAGAGCTGTCTCGATATCTATATGTATGAGAAAACATAAGGGAGAGAGGGAATCACTTGATTATAATTACAGTTTCTGGCTCATAAACAGTAACTTAGAAAGCTAATAGTACAGAGAAGGCATGTTGACCGGTTAAATGCCTTAATACTCGAGCGACCCGACAGAAGTTATCCCGGTACTCAAGTTTCTGGACGACTCCTGTCTGTTGGCATAGTTATCACAGCTGCCATTCGAGAGCCTCTGAATTGGGACCGAGTTCAAGAGCTCTAGGTCTTGTTTGCCCATCTCCTGCACTTCCTGTGGTGAAAGTATTTTGATACACCACACGCTGTTGACGAACTCGCTGTTGAAGAAAAGACGATACCATACTCGTCAAGAAAGGACACAGTTTCGAAAAATAAATGAAAGCTACCACATCAATGAAGAAATGGGGCATGGAAATTCTTAAAAGGGTGTCATTCTGCATTGAAGATATATACTCAAAAGGTAAGAAACTCACGGCCAGGGATCGTCCCCGAGAAGAAGAACGTCATTTTCCCGGTCGACAAATACAAGCTGCCAGCCTGATCTCACAGGGTCCTCCAACTCGCCTTCAAGACCGAACATGTGAGCGAGCTCACTGCGTAATTGATGGTAGCTACTGAATTTGGAAATATCCAGTGATCTACCCAAGGACCCTGCCTTGTAAACCTATTACAAATTCAATAATACAATCAGAAAGAGAAGGAACTTGGGAGCACAAAGTAACCAAAAAAAGAAGAGAAAAATGAATGTAAACAAGTTTGAGAGCAACCTTTACAAAGGTTCTGGTTGATGGGTTTACTTGGCCTGTGTTTTCTGGAGACTGCAAGAAACCTGAATCCTCAATGCAATTGGAAGGCGTCCCGGTCGGATTGGCTGAGAAGTTGGAAGCAGCAGTATTCACATAGTTGGATGAAAAAGGTATAGCTGTTGAGTCACTGTCACTGCAAATTCCCCTAAGATTTGGCATGCCACTCTGCATTAGAAGACTTGAAGGCTCTATATTGACACCAAAAAGAAGATTACTCTGTGGATCGGTGTTCCCTTGATCTAATGAACACTCTCGACCAGGAAAAGGCGGTAACGAAATAGCATTCTGAGAGATGTTCGTCTGAGTTGTCCCCATATTTACCCCTTGGGGAAGAACAAACTGAGAATTTACAGAAGAGAGGAGAGGATCGACTGCAGCTCGCTTTGATGGCCATGTAGATGAATGTACCATGGGATTGGTTCGAGGAAGATTGAGCAACTGAGATGATTCATCTTGCGGAAACGACCCTAACAGGCTGTGCAAGGGTGAAATGATAGGACTCGTCACATGGTTGGGATTTGAATCGGAAAAACTCTGCTGACGACATAACGGAGGAGTCGTTTGCAGGGATTGAGCTTGGGATTGGGATGCAGAACTGAACTGAGACATTGTAGTGATGGTACTTGGGATTTGTTGGTGATCAAACACTTGCTGTTGCTGCTGCTGCTGATTGTTGAATGTTTGATGCTTTATCTCCTGCTGAAGAACAGTAGGCAGGGTTTGAGCCTGAGAATGAGAGAGACGTTGGTTATCGTCGCCCTGAATAAACGTCGGTTGAGGCTGCTGCAATATCGGAGGCGGCATGAAAGTAGCAGGCCTGTTCGGAAGAGTTTGGGTTTGTTGAAATTGAAGAAGCGAAGCAGCCTGGACCTTAGCAGGATCTACAGTTCTCATCTCCTGTAGTGCAGCAGCAGCCATTGCTTGATATATCTCTGGCTGCATACCCACCATAGAAGCATCAAGCCTCGGCTGCATCCATGGTGCAACTCCAATGCCAGGGAAGTTCATAGCTTGAATCCCACGATCTAGACCATCCCCCCTTAGCCACATTAGTTGAGAATTCAATCCCAGATCATCCTCTTTTAGACCTGAGACAGGAATTCAATAGTAATACTTCAAACCAATAAGAGGGCAGGAAATGAAAGCATGAACTATATGTATTATACCATGGAAAGAAGGAAATCCAGTTGGCCACGGTCGCTTAAGCCTGAGGGAAAATGGAGAAGGATACAGTGGGAAGGTCGTAAGTGGTTCGATCTCCCATAATGACACCCTTGGCTGTCTCTCCCCAGCTGTAGATTCATCCCATCCAACCTACACAGCACGAAAGTTAAGTAATTCCTTCAACAATTGAACTCCGAGTTCATCTTAAAATGGTAACGTAAACCAACCTTGACTGACCGCCAGTGTGAATTCGGCCACCGGGTCGAATCTAAATCGCTGATGCCAGTAATAGTGCCCATGTAACTGGATAGCATACACAACTCTTAGACATTCACGACATTCATGATCAGTCAACTCAAATCACAAGTAGCTATATAAGTGTTTGGAAACCTACCGACGAACGCTTGATTCTTCTGTTTCAAATAGCATTCTAAAACGCATACCGACGGAGACACGGGTATGGTACACAGCTTTGACATACTTAGCCAGAGGTATGATGAACTCTGATGGGCAAGCTCTGAATGAAAAAGAAAATGCTGACTTCAAGTCGTAAACAAAACGAACAAGGCTCAAGAATTGTTCAAAACTCAAACCTTGGATTATAAAATATCGTGAACCGACTATTTGTAGCAGCTGCATGGGCTGCAGCAGCAAGAAGCCCCAAGTGCATGCTATCACTAGATAAAACCGACGAGGGCATCACCGTTTGTGGTCGATTAGCTCGACGGATCCCCAATAGTAACTGATTCTTCTCATTCCTGAAACGTCCCAGCATTGCAAATATGATATAAGTTTGAATGAATAAATGTGGAGTCTAAATGAATGAACAGCCAGCCCATGTACTCTGCATACAAGGAAGAGCATAAAAACTAACCAAATGAAGATAACCGAATCACCAGCAACGAGCCTCTTAGCACTTACGAACACACTCCATCCAGTCGTAAGAAGATGCCTTTTGGGCTGGCCTGCATGGAACATATAAGTAGACCATATAAGCTGCTTGAAAGGTGGGGTGAAAGAGTGGAGGAGTCACAAACTCACCCCGAAAAATATGCCTAAATTTCCATTCATTCTCGTGCAGATCCCTGGCGATCAACTCCTGAGCAGGTGGCTGCTGAGAAAAGTCCTAGAAAACCAAACATGATATCTCTCTGTCACAACATTTTGAAACTACATCAATGAATACTTGTGGCCATGTTTCAGAGGCATTTATTGAATTACCAATGGCGGGAACACTTTCTCGGCAGCTCGACGAGGAACAGAAAATCCTCCATGTGTACTCGTGTCACTTGCTGTCAATGTTTTGCAAAAATAATTGGTTGGTTGTTTGCTGGGGGCGCCCAACTCAGCTGGAAGATAAGGCTCCTTTTGTTCTTGCTATTGAAAATGTTAAAACTCTTCAGGAAAAGAAGTTCTTATGAGATTTATAAGTACACTAATCAAAACAAGTGAAAGTAACATACAGCACTGAGTGGTTGCAAGGTCATTTGGGCATACACTTCATCTGTCTCGACATCTGCCTGCAATCATCAAGGCGTTCGATTAGAACATTTTGAGTTCGTAAAAACTCGTGCCAGAAGTCAATGACAAGCCTTACATGCATTGTGACATTGTGAAGCTGACAGATAAGTTGTGGCGGCAAGCTTGGATAACTGGGTATATGGGCATCTACTTCTCTGTTGGTTGATATGGCAACCTACTCAATTTTGATGAATATTATGTCAGCTTTAGAACATCTAACTTCTCCATTGCATTCAGATGAACTTGAAAAAAACCCAATGTGGAGAAAACTGGGCAGGCCAGGTAGAGATCAGGCAATAGGATACAACCAAAAGGGACCGCAAGGGTAACGAAATCAGATCCCACATTGGTTGGAGAGGGGAACAAAACATTTCGTATAAAGGTGTGGAAAACTCTCCCTAGTAGACGCGTTCGTGAGGCTAACGGCGATACACAACGGGCCAAAACGGATAATATCTGGTAGCGGTAGGCTTGGACTGTTACAAATGGTATTAGAGCGAGGACATTGGGCCCTCAAGGGGGATGAATTGTGAGATCCCACATCGGTTGGAGAGTGGAACAAAACATTCCTTATAAGGGTGTGGAAACCTCTCCCTAATAGACAGCGTTTTAAAACCGTGAGGCTGATGACGACACGTTATGGGTCAAAGCGGTGAACTTGGGCTGTACAAGAAATACACGAACAAGTACAGACAACCTCCAAGTACAAGCATAACCAGCTTAAACAAACTGAATATTTCAAGAACATCTTCTTGGTAAGTGAAGAACAATAACCAAAAGTTTAGTGGGAAATTTGGAACTCACAAACATGAAATCGATATTAAAACAATAAGCAAACAAGTTCAACATCAGAAGAGGGCTATAGTTTCTGATTTCAATTGTGCAAAAGAATTAATACTCAATCGGCCTACAGCTCACCTGCTCGCTGTGACCCTGTGGAAAATAAACAACCCGGCTTCCAACAGCAGGGAGAGAAACAAGGGGGCCCGCACAGGCATGCCAAAGCTCCGAGTTAAGAACTCTCCTCTCCCCTGAAAATTTTGACGCAAGTTCTAATAAGTCCTAGCATTTCATCAAACAGATAAGGAGCATGGGCATCTCAGTTCATGGAAAAACAGAGAGAGAGAGGGCCGAAGAAACTGATACCTTCCGGAGGCTGAGGACTAAAACCAGCACTTGAAAGCCTCATTTCAGTAAGATCCAACAAACAAAAAGAAATTGTGCCCACAAATTTGAAGAACGCAACAACGACTGCACCCCACCCCCCACCGCCCAAAATCTCAGCCAAACCCGTTTTCGCTAAAGAACACGAACAATTTCAACCTCACCCGCATCTAATTCTCTCAACCCAAACCCCCCACATACACAACACTTCAATCACCGACTTCATGCCACACCAACCTCAAAGCTCAACAAACAAAACCGAATACCCAGACCCCAATAAATCCACTTATAAGCAAAGGGGGGAAGAATTCCTTCAACAACCCAACAAGAACAGAGTTAATCAAAGAAAACCCAAAAACGGTAAAGGGAAATTATCAGATCTCAGCTTCGAAAACGCCAAAACCCGAAAGTAAAAGAAAATTGAGAGACAGATCTCAGCACAGTAGAAACCCAGTAGAAGAAGCTAGAGCTTGGCGTCCATTCGCATCACGGGAAGCAAACACAATGATTTCAGGTAAAAGAAAATGATGGGGTTCCTTCCTTCCGTACACAGATTCAATTGAATGAAGTGTTATACAATGAAGAAACAAACGGCTTCAATGGAAAGCTGCTGGAATTGCAGCAGAAGGGTGAGTAGCAGTGGTGGAGCTCGAAGTCCTCTGTTTCCAGTTCTCTGTTTTCTCCTGTTGGGTACTCTGTAAAACACAGTGAATCAACGAAACCAGTATTATTTTTCCCACAGTCTTGTCTGATGTCTGTAGCAGGGATTAAGGAAAAGGTGAGGACACACTCTAGAGAGAGAGAGAGGGGAAGCTCAAATTGATTACGCGCTATGAGAGAGAGAGGCTTGGAAGTCTTTGATTGCTATGTTATAGAAGCAGCTCTCGAATGAAGCTTCCTTTTTCATCTTATTCTTTATTATTTACACTTCACAATTAATTCCTATTCTTTTTTACAATTTTCAATTTTTTTTTAATTTATATATTCGAAAATCAATTAAAACTTTAAATTCCAAATTAAATTTGTAATTTTAATTAAAATAATCGTCAAATGTTTTTAAATATCTAAATTTAATTTTATAATTGTAACAAATCTTAAAAGTAGACTCTTTTATTGATTTATTGTTAACTTTTGCTCGAAAATGGTTTTTATTAGCTTTCTCTTTATGAATTTAATTTCCTTCTTTTATTGAATAAAAATTATTATTATTACTTTTCTATTAAAAGACTAATTTTAAAACTTTTAAAAATAAAAATACTAAATTTGGATATTTAAATCATTCAACTAACTATAATGAGTAGTTTTAAGAACATTGTCTATAAATTCTTCGCTTCAAATATAACAAATTTATTTATAATGCAATCTTCATTTCAATAATAAAATATTAAAATTTTTATTCTAACTTTTTTGTAAATATTATTGGACTAAAATTGAAAAATAAAAAAAGAAAAAAGGAAATTTTTTTAATTTACATTGGGATTGGTTCACGTGTTTTTTGAACTATTATCTTATTTGATGAATTTAGATTCCTATAAATAAAAGTACGAAAAAATAAATAAAATAGAGTAAAATATACAAATAATGAATTTAAATATTTTAACGGAATATTTATCTCGATTAGTTAATATTTTATAGTAAGCATATTCTTTAGTAGTTTGAATCGAAAAAATTCGTTATTGTACGGAAGATCTATTTAACGGTAAATATGCAATGATTAAGACATTGAACATACTTAATGATAATAAATATGTGTTTATCCAGCATTAAAACATGTTTATAAATCGTTAAAAGTACGAAATTTTTTTATTAGTGATATTTGATTTTTTATCTTCATAAAAACACATAAATTTTAAGCTAACTATTTTTTTAGTTTTAAAAAATTGACTCGATTATTGAAAAATTAGATAAAAAATAAAACTATAGATAAAAAATAGTGTTATTAAGCTTAATTTGTAAATATATATATATATATATATATCAAACGGAGTCTAAATGGTTATTATGGCACTTTTTTCTTTTTCAATTCGGCTGCAAAAAGCTTCTATATAATAATTTCTTCCTTTTTAATATTATAGTTTTTTCTTTTTTTTTTTCGATTTTCGAATACAAGATTAATTATCCTTTTGAATAAATGTCTGAAAAGAGAGGACGTTACGTGGTAAATATATTTTATGTAACAGCTCAAGTTTACTACTAGTAGATATTGTTTATTTTGATCCGTTTATGTAACGTTGTTAGTCTCACAGTTTTAAAACGCATATGATGGGAAAAGTTTTCACATCATTATAATGGATGTTTTGTTCCTCTCTACAATTGACATAAGATCTTGCATATAATATTAATACACTTGAGTATATTTCAACTGATAAGACATAGACTCTCAATCAAAAAAGTAGATGTTTAAATTATTACTTCTCGTTCGGTTGAATTTTAAAAAAGCTGATATCGTTAAATGGTCATTTTGAATTATTATTTTATAATTTACTTTATTTACCGTCTCTTTCTTCGAAGGTCAATGAGGTGAATTATGAGTACACAACTTTTAATTTTTCTTCTCTTCATATCATTATAGTTTTAACTTACGACAAGTATAGTATCTATCAACTATCATTTTAAATGTTGATCGTTTGATTTTTATTATTCTAACTTAAAATATTATTTTTTAATCTCAATATAATTCCAATGATTTATTTTATACAAACATTTAGAATTTGAATAATTTATTTAATAATCATTTTATTTATTTATTTCGTATGTGGATTAATATAGTTGGTATATTTTTATAATGGCTAATTTTTTTATTAATAATATTTAGGTATGAGTTGACAGGCGAGAGATGAGAAATCTGAGCCGTTGATGAGAAGACGGGGCCGAGGAAAAGATCTGATGAGACGTGATGTAAGACGGTGGAACCTCTTTGATTGGTGGGTTATTAAATGTATTGTGTAACAACGACACAAATAATTATTATCCCACGTTCCTGCATGAATACTATACCCCTAGCAAATATTGTCCGTTTAAAACTTGTCGTTTAAGCTTTTCTTTCAACACTGTTATATAAGGAATATTTCGTTATTATCTTCAACCATTGTGAGATCTCACAATCCACTTCCTTAGAGGGCCCAACATTCCATGCTACCACATCACTCTGTGTTCGGCTCTGATATCATTTGTAAGATGTCAATCTTATTGCTAGTAGATATTATCCGTTTTTACTCGTTACATATAATTGTCAATCTCACGGTTTTTAAACGTGTTTGATATGGAGAGTGTCTAACTCTACTCCAACTAGTGTCTTGCACCATTTGATAACTGACTTTAATACCATTCGTAACAACCCAAGTCTAATACTAGCAAATATTCTCTTCAATATTTTAAAACGCGTCTTCTAGTAGAGATTTTCACACCCTTATATAAAGTATGATTTGTTTTCCTCTAATGCAGATGTGAGATTTTTTTTTACTATTCTCATTTTTACCACCATCCCTACTCTTTTTTACCTCACTTTCGAGTACAAAATCTATTCTAACTAAATTTTCCAACATGAAAACGATGGAAGAAAAACTCGAGTAAAATAATAGGTATGATTCGTGGGAAACACACGTAGGATTAATTTAATCCGAGAAGGGTGGGAATTGTCGGCTAAAAATAATAGAGATAATGAAAATTTAAAATTAAAACATATAATATATATATATATAGATGTAACATGGCAACTATTGAATCATGGTACGATTTGGGGACATGAACATGATTGTTTGGTCATGAATCAACTCTAATGGACAACTCTCCAGCTCCCATTTCTTTTTCTTTTTTTGTTCGTATGAATTAATTATATATGTTTTTCGTACTTATTTAACTATTTAATTAATTGTTTTGATTATAGCACATCGTTTTCCATTAATCATTTTGATTAACTAAACTATCATATGATTTAGAAAGCTAAAGTCATCATGTCTGTGTCTGTCTAAATATTTGGATAAATTGTTATTCTTTGTTCCAGTTCTACGTTGTAATATCTCAAACATTTAAAGGTCTTTGTAACATCGTTTTCGCTTCTACACTAAATAAAAATATTTAACTATAATTTCATATATAACTCAATTACGAATAAAGATATTATCTGCTTCAACACATTCGTAAAAAAAATATTTTATTATTATATATTTGTTGGGGGAGAGAGAGAGCGAAGAAAGTGAAAGGTGGAAAGAGAGAGAGAGAGAGAGAGAGGGGAATGGGAAAGAAAAAAAAGTAAGAGAAGCGAAGAAAGGGACGGGTGAGGGCTTAGATTTGTGGGGCCCACTCGTAAATTCCCTTCCTCGTTCCACTTTCTTTGACGCCACTCCCCCCATTCCCACGCGCCCACCGCCAACCCCGACCCGACCGCATTTAACCCGAATTCCTAAATATATTTTTAATGTTTATTTAACAAAAATAAATGAAATAAAATAAAATAAAAACTAGTTAGGGAAAAATTTGCATGCAAATCCAGAAGCAAAGACGTGCACGTTTGAAATTAATTAATAATAAGAAGAAAGGGCACCAACCAATTATCCCTTTGACAAATAAATAAATAATAATAATAATAATAATAATAATAATAGTAGGGAATCAAATGCTAATTAGCCACTACTTTACGACTAATAAGTAAAGTTAATGAAGAACAAATAATCTGTAAAGCCATATTAGTGGGGCCCTCTCTCTTTTAATCATGTTTCTTTGTTTCATGGGACCCCTCAAATCCCACTTTCAATTTCTTAATTAGGTTAGTTAGTTCTTAATTATGGTCTCTAATCTTTGTCTTTTTTTTTTTTCTATTAAATTTTAATGATGTTTGTTTTAAGGAAAAAAAAAAGAATCTTTGTCATTGTTGTTTCTCGTTATCATGTGAGATTTTGTATTAGTTCGATAATATAACGAATTATCTTTTATAAAAGTACGAAAACTTCTCCTTAACAAACATGTTTTAAAATTGTGAGACTGACAAATATATATATAATGAGTTAAAATGGATAATATATAATAGCAATGAGTTTAGACTCTTACAAAGGATGAAAATAAAAAAAAAAAACAAGAAAAAAACAGGAGAGAGAGAGAAGAAAGGAGAGATGAAGCAAGAAAACAAGAAAGCAAAGAAAGTCTGTGTTAAGATTTTTTGTTGATCATGTTTTGGGTGACATTTGAGTTTACAAACAGAACCCACAACTTTGAATTAGCAAAAATATTAATAATAATTAAAAACATAATAATAATGTTTTATTTATTTAAAAAAAAAAAAAAATCATTTTTGATGTTTTTAGTGACAATTCCTTCTCTAATCATATCCATATCATCATGAAGCTTAGTGAGAAAAAAGGCCAACATTCCCCATTATTGCTAATCATTTTCTTGTTTAGTCAAATCCCTTCATTTGTATTTTGGTTTGCATTAATTAATCAATCTAATCTCCCTTCTTATATCATCAAAATAATATATAAATGAATAAAACTTTTTTAAAAGAAGTGATAAATTATAGATGAAATATTTTTTGTTTTAAAATTTAAAATCTGGGTTTTTCTGTTATGCCATCACGCTCACTGTTTTAAAACATGTTTTTCATATCCTTGTAGATGCTTCGTTCCCCTTTCCAACAGATGTGGGATCTCAAAAAAATAAAAATAAAATATTTTTCCCCCATTGGATCCAAATTTAAATAAAAAAAGATAATTAAAATATTGTTTGGAGTAAAAAATAGAAATGTATGGAGGCTGCCAATTGGAAAGCATATCAAATTAGGTTTGGTATAAGTAACATCACTTTATAATTAATAATGTAATATAAAATTAATATCGCCCATCTTAATTAATATAATTATTTTGTGGTTTGTAT